CCGGCCCGCGGGGTCGAATGAGTTGCCGACCCCTGGAATAGATAGACAGACATAAAGAGAAGCATGGAATAGAGAAAGAAGGGGAGCCTGGAACGTCAATTGGTTAATACTAATTTTATTGTAAAGATATTGACTCTGACATAATGTAGCTTTATAATCTCATAAATGGATGGAATCAATGGTAATAGATTTTCAAAATCATCTTTATTGAAATGAAAATTTGAGTAAAATAATGGTCTAGAATATCCTTAATAACACATTTGGAACAAAGTAGATATGAATAAAAATTGACTGATTGATGGATTTGTTTTTCTATAGTTTGTCAACCCTTTGCAGGTTATTTAAAACCAGAAAATATTTTTAGACTATAAGAAGTGTTTATTTTTTTTTTTTTGAGATAATGATTTTACTGATACCTGTCTTACTAATTAACCCATAGCTGGAGAGGGAAAAGGTGGATTCATACCTTTCCCAAGGTTATTTTCACAGAAGTGAATATAATGGACCCAATGGGAATTGGGACTCAGCTCTCCAATTAACAATTCCAAGCCATTATCCATTACGCCACCCATACATCCAAGATTACAGCAACTGGTATTCCTAAGCAGTCACCAATTGAGGTACTGACCAAACTCGACGTTGTTTAACTTTGATGATTGTACAGGAACTGATGCTTCAATGTGATGTGGCTGTAAGCCTTCTAATGGTTTGAGTGAAATAGTTTGAATGAATTGGGATATAAAGCAACAATAAAAAGGTAAAAAAAGAAAAAAGAAAAATAATGGTAGATTGAATGAAAGATTTGGTTTATTTGCTTAACCTTTTTGTTCTCATTGTTCTACTAGTGAAAATCATTTGAAGACCAGGTGAGTATTCATTTTTATATACATTATATATATATATATATCCACAGTTTGCTGATATTTCTAAGTACAGGATCAACTATTCAAATAGATCTCCATGTCCTATAAATATTTGATTAGGTTCATGTTGGACAAATTTATCAGATGTCTCCAAAATGATACTAAAATCAATTCTTGGCAACTTGGCCTTAAACAGTCATGAAACAGTGCCATGAAATGGATCCAACCAATCACAGGCAACTTGGGCAACCAATGACAGCACAAATAGTCATGAAACAGTGCCATGAAATGGATCCAACCAATCACAGGCAACTTGGGCAACCAATGACAGCACAAATGGTCATGAAACAGTGCCATGAAATGGATCCAACCAATGACACAAATGGTCATGAAAACTTGAAATGGATCCAACCAATCACAGGCAACTTGGGCAACCAATGACAGCACAAATGGTCAGTGCCTTGTAAGGTTCAAAGGACATGATTAGGTGAACCAACGGACACAACCTGTGACATGTGAGCCACACTGCATACTATGAGGGAAGTGAGATTTTCTCCACATAAAAAACATATGATTAAAAAATAAGTAAATAAATAAAATGGGAGGGGAGGTGATAAGATGCATGAAGACATTGAATTAAAAGAAATAATAATAATAAAAAAAAATATCTATACTTACTAGAGGCAAACAGGTAAAATTCGATTGCACCTTGCCAAGCTGAGATGCTCAAGGTTTTTCAGGTGATATATAATCAAATGAACAGACTTTTCTGTAATAACAGTTGAGTCACTCAGGTCCAGGCTTAACAGATGTGGACAAGTCTTTACCAGTTGTGATACTTCTGCAATTAATTAAAAAAAAAAAAAAGAAAAGCTTATAACCATAAATTAATAAACCTTAATTTCAATGAATAAGTGAAAGAAATGAAGAAAAAGCAAGATTAAACAATGAAACAAAAAATTCTAAAGAGGAAGACATCTTGTTTCTCCCATACCACATTTTCAATCAATGAACTTGTCCTTTTCCTCATTGAACACAATATACGTTCCCCATGAAAAGACAAAGAGAAACAGTTAGTGGATATTACTACGATGTTTGATAGACTATAACCAACTCCCTTATTAGAATTTCATAAATTTGCAGTAAATGCATGAAAAGTAACTGGACCAAATTACGAACATGAATGTAGCTATATTTCTGAGATGAGGTATTGTAACTATTTACACTATTCGGACTGTTGTCCAAATCTTTCTTACCATATTCACCACGTTTCAGCCATTGTACGCTCCAGCCTTCTTCAGGTGATGTTTCTTGAAAATTTTGAACTAAATCCTTTATTTAGTCCTCAGAGGTAGATTGTTCTAATTCCATGTGCACATGGCCCAGTGGATAAAAGTATTGATTGACTGATCTAAAAGTGACTTGCCCAAAGAGTTGAGAATTCAATACTTGGCCACAACGGAGGGAACAAAAATTTACAGAGTTGAGTTAACAAGAGGAATTAACTGAAACCGGGATATGCAAAGGCATTTAAAAATAATTCAGTAGACAATGTTATTTTATTTATGGTAAATGTATTTTTAGTGATTACCTTACTCAGTTTTTGTTTGTTTAATACTGTCTGTTCTTATCAGCTTAATCTGATTCTCTCTTGCTACTTTTTTTTTTTTCTTTCTTTTTATTTTCTCACTGAAACCAAGTCGTGTCTTTCCCCCCTCTTTCCAAAACAGAATAGTCTATTTATAAGGTATTGGCAGCCTGTAAATGTTGTGTGAACTAACAAGCACAATTGTAATAGGATATTGCAATTAATATTATGACTGGATTATCTCCAAGAACAATTCTTTAGAATTTCTTGCTCTGTAGCAATTGTTAGTAATATAGTTTCACAGATCATTACTGCTGCAATGAATTTGAGCCTCATCAAGTGCTCCACACCTACAGCTTTGTGTCAAACTAAGATTAGTAAATACTAACTGGATATCTAATGCAGTGTGATGGCTAAATTTTGCTATTAGTGTTATTAGTCTGATCCAGACAGAGTGCTCTATAATTAAGGATTTTAGTCAGATTAAGCAGATTTTTTTTTTAAGCATTTTACCCCAAGCAAGGCGGGAAGCCACTAGGACGCAAGGGGTTGCAGAAAGATTTAGAGCAAGATCAGATAGGAGTGATAGAAGAAAGGATGAGGGTAGTGGATAGATCAAGGCAACTGGAGATGTCAATTGACATTACACTTGAATAGCTGGAGATTATAGCTCACAGGGAAACAGGAGAAGGGAAGGGAGTTCCACAGGCAAGAGGCGCGAGACATGAAGCTATTAGCGTAGAAGGACGGCTACATTTAGGAGTTCGACAGTGAAGGGGTGAGAGCGGGATGCCACCGTGGGGCGCTGGAACTCATGGCGTCTGGGGAACCAGGGGCGCTCCTGGGGCAATTTCCTGGAGAACAGACAGAGGGACTGTGAGAAATGACTGTAAGCGAGACGCCAGGGCAGGGCCAACCACATTGCATATCCGCCTCTGGAGCCTATCAAGAACCCCCCGAGGTAAACAGAAGGGCACCAGACCATATGTGGCAGCAATACTCCATGTAAGGGTGAATTTGTGGATCTGGAGGATCAACTCCGGGGAGAAAAACTTCCTAGCGCGGCTCAGGGAGCCAACTTTCCTTGCAGTGGATGAGGCAATTGACTCGATGCATTTATTCCATCTTGGGTCAGCAGTCAACGTGAGACCAAGAAGCCGCAGAGAGTTGCTCTCGAGAAGTTGAGCGTCAGACATTCTAATGGCGGGAAGGGAAGGCTCTCTGTGATGATTAATAGAGAACACTTTTGTCTTAGAAGCGTTGAAGTTGACCAGCCAATTCCTGCCCCAGTTCACAATCGATTGGAGGTCCTTTTCGAGACGCACGGCCAGGTTTGTTTTGTCAGCGAGACTAGATTTGTTTTTGAGGCAGGAATAAATTGTGGTGTCGTCCGCGTAGATGCCAACTTGGGAAGTTATGGCGTCAGGAAGGTCATTTATGTAGATAAGGAATAGAGTGGGGCCTAGGATGGAGCCTTGAGGAACACCTGCGTTCGTGGGATAGGAACTGGAGGAGAATCCGTTGAGAACGACCTTCAATTCACGGTTTGACAGGAATGATTGTATTAGGTTATATAATCGATCCGAAATGCCATAGCCCCGGAGCTTGTGAAGAAGGCCGGCATGCCAAACCCTATCAAATGCTTTGGAGATGTCTAGTGCCACGGCTCGGGCTTCCCCATTATTTTGGAGAGCTCGGTAGACTGTTTCAGTGATAGCTGTAAGCACATCGGCTGTAGATCAAGCAAAGCGGAAACCATATTGCTTGTCTGAGAGCAGATTATGGGATGTGAGGTGGTTAACCACCCTGGTATTGATTAGAGCTTCGAAGACTTTGCCGAAGAGGGGAAGGAGACTGATAGGACGGTAGTTGGAAGGGCCAGAGGGGTCGCCGGAGTTCTTGAAGACAGGAATGATTGAAGAGGACTTCCAGCAGTCAGGAAAACAAGATTCCTTGAGGCAGTAGTTCTAAAGTTAGAAAGGGTGGTGATTATTGGAAATAACCATTTGAGTGTTTCACCATGGACCAAGTTCATCTAACAGACCATCAATATTTCATTATGTTAGATTCTGAGTGCCTCTACACTTGTGATCTTATGATATATATATTAATCTATGCTTATATATATATATATATATATATATATATATTTATATATTTATTGCAATGGAGCAAGGTATTGGATTTCAAATTATCTTAATACTAGTCAAATTACCTGTGCCTTGCTGCATATCACACATTTTTTTGTAAGAAAATGATAATTGATTTTAAATGATTGTTATAATTTGTGGAGAAAAATGATGCATTTCAATATTACTCAATGATTTTACCAATGTGATCTCTATCTTCTGGCTTTCTCATATATTTTGGATAGGAGTCATTCTCTTGTTCAAATTTAAATTTAAATCAAAGGGTCAAAAATTTTCAGTGAGGAGATTGTGCCACCAGGGCACCTGCTCTCATCAAAATGATCTTGCTGATGCCCCCCCACCTCATCTTTCTCTTATATTTTAGATAGGAGTCATTCTCTTGTTCAAATTTAAATTATATCAAAAGGGGGGAAAAAAAATATATTTGGGGTGGGGATGGTGGAGAGAGAGAAGAGAATAGGAGAGAGAGAGAGAGTATAGGAGAGAGAAGAGAGTATAGGAGAGAGAAGAGAGTATAGGAGAGAGAGAGAGAGAGAAGAGAATAGGAGAGAGAGAGAGAGAGAGAGAATAGGAGAGAGAGAGAGAGAAGAGAAGAGAGAGAGAGAGAGAGAAGAGGAGAGAGAGAGAGAAGAGAATAGGAGAGAGAGAAGAGAATAGGAGAGAGAGAGAGAGAGAGAAGAGAATAGGAGATAGAGAGAGAGAGAGAGAGAATGCAGCAATTATAAACAAGGAAGCAGATTGGTATAATTCTTTGTTGTTTAATAAAATGGTTTTTCAAAAGTTTTATAAGGAAAAAGGCATTGAAACTTACCTTCATCTGTCATACTTTCTCGAAAGCCACTTAAATTCAGTTTGTGAATGCTCTCAGGTAGACAAAGAGACAAATACATGATACTGTGTTGCTTTAGCCCAGTCCATGCAAGATTGAGAGAGACCAGCCTAAAAATAATGTAAATAGAGAAATAGATTTCCAGAACACTAATAACATTATCTATGTAGCAACATTTACTTTATAAAAAATTCTTTTCTTCTTTAATAATCCACATGGGATTGGGAAATTTAAAAATTCTTCCTTGCTTTTATTTTTGTAATTGTATTTAATGAGATAATACTTTTCTGCAAAGCTAATTAACACATTTACTGATACATGGCATAAATGAGTTTTGTCTCTGCCACACACATAAAAACCTTAGTGCTGCTTTTGATTTGTAGAGCTGTTTTGGGGGTTAGGTTGGCAGATTTTACATGTGAACCTTTGGGTTATTTCATGTTGAAATCAGTTTTTAATATGCTTGGGTTGACAGGCAAATCTGGATTATTTACACTTGTGCCTATAGGCAAATATTGGTTATTTAAACCAAATTCCACAAAGATTTACCTTGCAGATAGACCCTTTTGAGAGGGTCTTATACATCTGCCTGTACTGTATACAGTTAGTGTATTCTATGCCCTGCTGACAAGGCAAATATTTTTTCTATTAAAAGATAACCATGACAAATAAATGTATAGGGCAGAGAGGAAGAAAAATAAAAAAAAAATTATTATTTTTTTTGGTAATGAAGGAAAGATTTGATAGAGTCGTATATAAGAACATTAGCAAGGAAGAAAGAGTAACATGGCAAAATATTGATAGCAAACCCTTATCAAAAGATTTTCTACAGGAAAAAAAAATATATACTGATAGAATTTGAAACTGCTAAGATCTGTTGTTACCAAGGATATACCAAGAATAGCTATTTGTAACTGATATGAAGTTTAATATAAAAACAAAGCAAAAGTACTTACTTTCTGCAATTGGAAGTAATAGGCATTAGACCATTATCTGTGATGCCTTGAACCATGCACATATTTAACACTTCCAATTCTTTGTTTTCGCCAATATAACTGGTAAGAAAAAAAGAAACAGTAAGATTTTGTTGTATGATTGATTTAACAGCATATCAACTCTATTGGTTATTTAATACCAAAATTTTTTTTTTTTTAAATATAGAGTTTGTAAAAAAATCCTTTAGTTCTATCACTCTCTAATTATGCCTTTTAGAACAGTCATTTAGTGCTATAATTTGTGGCATAGACCAACCTTTTTCTTCAAGTAGGCTAGGATAGTCTTGACTTTTATTTTCTTGAAAAGTTCCTCTAGACTAGTTGTATCATTATTTTGTGTTGAGTATCAAATGTTAAAAGTGAAAAACACAAGAGGTTTTAATTTCACAGGTACTTAAGAAAATATCCAAAAGCACTGAGATTAGGGCTGAAGGGTGCTCTCACACAAATTGCTGAAAGAACAGAGTTGTACAAGAACTTCAGTTCTACTAAACTTAGTTGATTTCACCTACAGAGCAGTTTTAAAAAAAATTGAAGTTATCAAAAATCTTTTTCAGAGAAAGTAATTCCAGTCAAATAGCTGTTAGTTTGAAATTTTAATATAATAGATAAAATTAAAAAGAGAGTATTTAATATATATATATATATATATATATACACACACACACACACACAGACTTGTGCAAATTAATTGAAACAAAACGAATAATTCCATTATTATTTACTTTTTTCGTCACCTGCTGACACAAGAAAAACAATGTGTGTGTGCATAGACAGTCTTGTATAACCTTATAAAATGGGTAAAACTTTATTTACTATTTTTTCTCCGTTTAGGGTATGACATACACCTTATATTTAAGGTAGGTTAAATCACATCACCCCGTGCAAGGCTGTAAAGCCACTAGGACACAACGGGTTACTGAATAACAAAAAAAGAGAACATCAGGGAATGAGAAGAATAGAAGAATAATCAAGACAGTAGATAATGATCGATATTGCATTTAAATTTTTGAAGATCAAAGTTGGCTGGAAAACAAGATGGAAGAGTTTCAAAAGTGTGAGAAGAGAAATTGTTAGCATAGAACTTATGGTTATGTCTAGCCAATTCAAATGTAAGTTGATGAGACCATGTCGCTAATCTAGTATCATGCTTAAATTCATAAAGTCCAGGTACCATTATGAAGAGTTCATCTGAACAATTACCATGAAAATATTTATAGAAAAGACACAGGGAAGCTACATTACAGCGGTGGGAAAGTGACTGAAACCGAGATGCCAGGTCAGGACCCATAATATTGCTGATTCTTCTTTGGATTTAATCAAGAATCTCTAAATATTCAACAGGAACATTGGACTGTATATGGCAGCAATATTCAAAGCATGGACAAAAGGTAGACTATGCAAGTAGGCAAGATAGACTCTGGAGAATAAAGTTGTCTAGCATGACACAATGAATTGACTTTATTAGTAGCAGACATAGCAATGGATTCAATATAGTCTTTCTACTTCATATCAGGTGAAAATGTTAGACTGAGAAGGTGCAATAAGTCACCCACATGAAGGTTAACATCAGCCATGCTGATGTGAGGCAGAAAGGGGTCTTTCAGGTGATTAACAGAAAAGTTTTTGTTTTGGAGGCAAATTAACAAGCCATTCCTTGGCCCAGTTAAGAATAAACTGTGGGTCATTTTTTTGATTACCTACCAATTTGATTATTGAGACAGGAGTTTGAGAACTGATGCCATCAGGAGGGCCATTGATGAAAATTAGGAACAAAGTAATTCCAAGGATAGAGCCTTGGATGACACCTACATTAGTACAAAAGGATCTAGAAGAGTGGTTATTCAGGACAACTTTCATTTTGCAGTTAGATAAGAAAGTGAATCAGTTCAAAAAATTTGTCTGGAAATACCATATAGATTATTTAAACGCACTTTAAGCATTATTCGATGTCTTTCCTAGTTGTCAGACTTACCTGCACACTGTGTCATTGACTTCACAGCTCTCAAGACTGAGTTTTCGGAGATCATGGCATTTGGATAGAATTTCTTCCAAACCCTGAACAGAAACACAGGTCATGCTCAGATCGAGATATTGAAGTTTAGATAATCTGGAAAAAATAAAAAAAATAAAAAAAATAATTGATTTTTGTTTATTTATAATACAGGGGGGAGAGAGTACAATTTGGCGTGATCATTAATTGAACACAGCCAGTATGCTCAAACACTTGTTCTTTTTTCTTTTCTGGTTTCAAGGGACAATAATGTACTGGCTTAAAGTGTTGGTCTGTGAATTTGACAGCATAGTAATTGTGAGTTCAATCCCTGGACAGAAAAAAAAAAGAGGATAAGATATCTATAGATATAGACAGCAGAATGACAACAATCTGCAATACTCTACTCACATAGTTTAAATATAGGGTTCAGTTGTTAGGGTCAACCCTAAAATAAAATCCCTTAGGGAATTTTCTAATCTCCATGCATTAGAAAGTTTGTCTCACCCCCCCACCACCTTTTTGGAACATGGCAAACTTAACTATCATGAGATCATGCATGTAATTTCATTCCATGCTGAATCCAACTAAGTCAACATTTATCTGTACGTATTCTTGATAAATTTCATTCTGTTATGTGGAATACCTCTATGTTGTTATTTCAATTTTCACATTACTAATTCTATTAATTACACACAAATTTTAGAAAAGGCACCATTTTCATATAACATTACAATATTATGTTTGCCATTAGGATTAATTCACATCCCATAACAGATTGAAGACAAGGTCATAACAAGTTTAAAACTCCCTTAAGATTCCCAGATCAACAGACACCTGAAGGCAAAACATTGTGATAAAAAAACAAAAAATCAAAAAAAATTTGAGCATATTTTTTTTTGTTATCAAACCTGATCATAGTAAAACATTTTCCCATTCTTTATAAAGAAAAAATTGGGAGAATGTGAAGAAATTTAAATTCATGGATTGAGATATAAAAATACTTACTTAGTAGAACTGAAGACACTAGTAAGCCCTGTGTAAATGGGTGATGAGATCTGGGAAAAAAATAAAAATAAAAAAAATCAGTAAACAAACTTTCTGAAGATGATGATAAAGCAAAACTTATAAACTTTACAATGACACTTTGAATGTGTGCACATTAGTGATTCACATCATTACCAGATCACATTCCTTCCCTTGTGATCCCATGTTCTACTATCAATTCCTCTACCATTCTGAATTGAAATTCCTTTTACTTTTTACAGTGGTAATTATAATTTTTCAAATACATAAATTAAACAACTTATAAAAAAAACAAACTGGAAAGTTGCAAAAAGAATCAAGTTTAAAGGAACAGTTATTTCTCTAAGCTGATAATTTGTTACATACATACATATATATGTATATGTATGTATGTATATTTCCTGTTTATATGTTATTTTAATACATAAAAATTATTTAAGTATATGCTCTATTTTTTTAAATAAACAGTATTAATTACATTTACTGGCTTGAATGCTCGAGAAATTTTGTAGAAAATGTGTTCTCCGATAGGAATTGAGCTAAATTGTCAGATTTACACTTGCACTAATAGTACTTGCTTGAATATAAACCACCGAATAGTGATCTGTATAGTGATCACTTAGATGCCACACTAATTCCCATATATACATTTCCTTTACCATCATGTAATCTACTTATTCAAAATGGGATCGCCTGAGTTTGCTCTCTGGTGATGTGTGTTCAAACTCCAGTGTCGGCAGTGACACTTTATTCCTATACACACACGTGTATGTATGTATGTATGTATGTATATATATATATATATATATATATATATATATATATATATAGAGAGAGAGAGAGATGTGGGTGTGTGATGGATTGTGGATCAAAATGAGAAATTAGAGAGCCAAGTTAGTTACATGCACTTATGAATACAGCTATAGGTTAAACCATAGGATAGATTGGGCTCTATGCACTTGGCTGGAAATTATTCTCAAGGAATTGCTTTGTTTACATTATGGTATGAAACTGAACAGATATATACATTTCAAGAGTCTAGTAAAGATTAAAGGTATTATTCAACTTTGCTTTATCATTGATACACTTTATGCCCAAGAGATCTAAAGCACATTGGATCTAATGATGTTTAGAGTGTAAATCTTGACAGAGAGAGCATGTTTTTTTATAATAAGATTTCTCAGATATTCAGATGAAAATAAACAAATATACTGTTTAATAAATAGAGCGTCTACTCAAATATGGGTATCCACTAAAAATAACGTTTAATCAATGTGCATATATAAACTTATTTATCCAATGCAATTAATCATACATAGAAATAATTTTAACCACAATTTCAATCTTAAAATAGCTATCCTTATTAAAAGAGAAAATAACTTAGGCGAAAAGTTTTTGAAAGTGCAATTATTGATTATTACCAAAACATTAACTTATGGACCAAATTTTTTGAAATCACTTTTCTTAAAAGAAATACTTTCTGAAGCCAACATACTTATGTATGACCACTAAAATTTTAAAAATTAATTAAACAGAAGAAAATAAAAATGTAAAAAAGCATTAAGTCACTACTGTTTAATAGGCTGAAAAATTATGTGACTTAACATCCTCCATAATTTACCTTCCCTTACACAGTAAGTTATTTTAGAATATTTTAGAGCATTCTCTTATTCAAAATTTGAAAACTTAATATTTTTTTTCTCTCCATGTTACATCTGTCTACAGGTCCAGGTTACCAGAAAAATGTCCACACTTGGCTTGTTAAAGTACCTCAATGAACGAAATGTGTTAGAATTAAGTTTTACTCTGGTCTTTCCCTATATAACAAATAAAACACAAACCCACATATGTGTATGTGTTTGAATTTCATTCTTTAAGAAACTTTATTAAGATGATACATATATATATATATATATATATGATATATATATATATATATATATATATATATATATAAAAAATAAAATAAAAATGCCAGCCTGTAAAAGAAAATACCAAAAATTTGAAGGCAGTATGCCTTTTTCAAATAATATTTACTAGCTCACTTCAAACCAAAGGCACTTTCTCTTTTAGAAGAGTTTTTGTCTTAAATTCAACGATTATCAGAAAATTAACCCATTACTGTATAATATTCCCTTAAAATGTTTTTAGCTCTTTTTGCCTTATCTACCTTGCTGGGTAATTAGTAATCTTGGGGCTGGCAGATTTTAAATTTTAGGTAAAAAACAAAAAAAAACTTCATACACTGATGTGTTAAATAGTTTCAATTCTAGCTTAATTGGGGTTAAACAAACCAAAGAAGAAACTTCTTATATAAATAAAACACACAGACATTGGACAGAGCAACATTTCACAGTTAATTCTGAATCAAGGACAAACTGGAAATTGCCTTATACTTCTAGTTAGAGCATTTTAACAGTATATTACTCTAATACATATCTAAGCATGGTATACAATGTTTACTGTGTTATGGTAACAATTCCTGTTCAAGGAAGTACATTTTTTAAACAAAAATTCTATCATTATAGTATAGCTGATAACATTTTTTTTCTGTAATTGACCTTTAAAAAATGTCCTGTTCTGACTAATTATCTTTAAAACTAATTTAAAACATTGGCAGCATTTAGGTAGAGTTGATTCAGTTATCAAAAAGAGATCAATCTGACAAGGTTTCATCACATTTAATCAAAATTTTCATCCTTGTTTTTTCAAGACTTGTGCTAATATTTCAGACTCACCTCTCTTAGATCCAATAATTCAAAAATTTGCAATTTTTATTTGATTTTCTTTCAAAATCAACTTGAAGAAATAAGGTTTATTGCAGAAATGAAGTTAACCAGCAGCTAAAAAAATCTATTTGTAAAGTGTCTAATCAAGCTAATAAAATTTTAGGATTTTCTCTCGCTCTCTCACACACACAAAAAAAAAAAAAAGAAAAAAGAAAAAGAAAGGCGAGCTTGACTACCATATTTACTGGGCCCATGGTCCTGGATCAAGACAACAACTTTAATAAAACAGTTGACTAAATGGAATTGGTGAACACAAAAACAATGCTGATAATTACAGTGCTGAAAAATGGATTCAAAGAGAATCTAAGAATTACAATTAATAATTTAAATAAGATAACCTTGCCTATTATTGTACTAGATCTGTTATCAATAAGTAACTAGATTCAATCTAATTACAATTAATGGTAGATAAAGTAGGAACAATAGTTAAATTATAGTGATCTGATTGTTCAATGAAGACAGATTCTAAACCCTTTAGGCAATTAGGCTTATTTCATTTCATCAACTGTTATTAAAGTCATTCTCTTCCACTGAGATCATTTGGGGGGAGAGAAAAAAAAAAAAATTGAACTGATAAGTTATGTCTTTCAGGACATTCACTTTCATAATTTTGAAGACAAGAATTAGAACCAGATGACTTTTTTTTTGAATGATGAGGTGATACATTTATGGCCATTAACCTGTTGGAAAAAAAAAAAAAATAATAAAAAAATCTCAGCCCGCCAACCAACCCCCTACATAAGGCTAATGTAGTTTATTTGTCCAATCAGAAATTGTCCCTGTAAACAATTACAAAACAACCACTCTTTTTCCAAGACTGATGTGGCATTTATCAGAACAAAGTTCTATCAAACAGCACATAAAGCATAAAATTAAAAATTTAAAATGGCGACCCAGCGCACCATGTGTGTGTGTGTGTGTGTGTGTGTGTATGAATAAAAAAGTTATCACACATTCTACATTCATTGCTGATATATGTTAAACACACACACGTATATATATATATATATATGTATGTTAAAAAACACACACACACATATATATGTATGTATGTTAAACACACACGTGTATATATATATATATATATATGTATGTTAAAAAACACACACACACATATATGTATGTATGTTAAACACACACACGTATATATATATGTATGTTAAACACACACACGTATATATATATGTATGTTAAACACACACACGTATATATATATATGTATGTTAAACACACACACGTGTATATATATGTATGTTAAACACACACACGTGTATATATATGTATGTTAAACACACACACGTATATATGTATGTTAAAAAACACACACACACACGTATGTTAAAACACACACACACACACGTATGTTAAACACACACACACACACACACACACACACGTATGTTAAAAACAACACACACACACACACACACGTATGTTAAAAACACACACACGTACACACGTATGTATGTTAAACACACACACGTATGTATGTTAAACACACACACACACACACGTATATATATACATACGTATGTTAAACACACACACACACACACATATATATATATATATAAAAAATGTTAACAGGCTGTTTTAGTTTTATAAAGACAGGTACGTCTACAACAATGGAAGTCTTAATTACAGACTAGACATTTCATTGAATAATTTCTTTTATATATATTTTGAATTATACATTTGACTAAGAGTATAAAGTAAGGTGCCATAAAAAATTTATTTATAAAAAGAATGTCATTAATGTAAAAAATTTGAAAAGTAAATAAATAAATAAAAAAACAAAAACAAACAAACAAAATTTTTAAAATCAGACAGGCCCACCCCACTTGAAAAACTGGTGTAACACAATATTCTTCTTTCATATTGTGCCAGAGTAAGCAAGTTTTGTAAATAACAATATTTCCATTAGCTTGCATGCTTAGGGTCTGTATAAATAGTTACACTAATGCAAGGGAAATAACTCTAACAGGAAAACCTTTTAAGATTTCGACTTGTTTTAGCTTGGTTTATTTTGCTATACGGCATATCAACGTCAATGGGATATTTAACGCTGACAAGACTTTTGGGATAGGTTCGTATGAATAGAATATATATTCTTTGTAAGAAATCGGTTTGTAGGTCAGGTTTCATTGACATATTTTTTATAAAGAGGTTTTTTTTTGTTTTTTTTTATTGAGAGTCAAATGTACTGCTGGTAATCTTTTTTCTCTCCGGTTTTTTATTATAAAAATTGTTATATTTTCATAGTGTTTTGAACCCAGTTTTGTGGTGGGGGATAACTTTGCCCATAGCTGGGAACCTAACAGGTGGTACTATTGCAGGTCAGGATGGAATTGGGAACAACAGTAATATAGAGGTGGCTCCATGCTCGTCAAAACCTCCTGATCAGAGGCCTTGTTGCTGGATGTAATTTATGTCCAAGATAATAGACTTGTTTTAGTAAATATTCTCATTGTATATTTTGGACAACTGACTTCATTATCACTTTTGATCAGAAGTCAGATATATTCTCCCGTTTAGAATGATTGAAAAATATCAGCCAAACTGTGTTAAAAAGGTTATGGCAAAAATATTAATAAAAAGCTGCTATTCTGAATAATATTCTTATAGTATTCAATTTAGGATTCAGTTGAGTAAGCTGATTTTATGATATCAACTCTTGTTGAGCTATTCTATGTCAAAATCAGTCTCTCTTTTCTTTATTTTTTTTTTATATATTTGAGCCTATAAGCATTTACTTGGTTTGGGAATCTATAAATAAAATTATGTGACTTCCGTCTGTCACATACTCTAAAATAGCCATACATTGCCCAATTGAAACTAAGTTTGAGGAGAAGTGAAAACAAGTAAGGGTGTACAAAATACAGTTGTTTTACTAGGGTGCATAGCTTTATATCTAAAAAATCTTAATGATGATAATAGCTTTGTTAAATATTTTCTCAACTAGAAAAACTAGTAAATAGAAATTGGCTGTTTACATACAAGTTTGTAAGTAAATTTTCTTACTACTTTTCACACACACACACACACACATTATACAGTGTGAACATAGGAATCAACACTGCATAATGACTGTTTATGTCTCAATGTAATCTCCTGAAGATCACATTGTTTATATTTATGGACAATTACCAACATTGAGCACAATTCCCCTATAAATATATCTAATTTTAAACTATGTGTGTGTGTGCATGGTGGTGTAATGGACAGCAGTTTAGAATGAGAAATCAGAGAGCTGAGTTCAAATTCCAGCTGAATTCATTACATTCAGTTACATGGAAATATCCTTGGGAAAGGTATGAATCCATTTCTTCTCCCACCAGGTAAGGGTGCATAGCAGGACAGACTGGGCTAGCCTTGACTGGCAACCAGTCTAGAAGGAAAACTCTGAATTCAAAACCCAAGGAAGGTAGTTTGGAGACCTTCTGGTACACTATGTGCATCAGTATTCAGTTCTTAATCAAATTATGTGTGGATAGTGTGGCTGTTCAGTTGTGAGAACTGAAATACACACACATTATATATATATATATATATATATATATATATATATATATATATATATATATATATATATATATAAAGCATTTTACTAATTCAGACTTGTTTGAAATTATAAATGCCCAGTTTCATTTCCAAAATGTAAACAAAGCAATTTCTAAATAATTAATGGATTTTTATTTATTAATCTGAGAGATTTCATTACTTTAAACATTATTCCCAGTGGATACCCATATTTGAGTAGACACCCCATTTTTTTAAACAGTATTTTGTTTACTGGCTTATTATGGAAAATACAAATATGGGTATCCACTAAAAATAATGTTTAATGTAATAAAAATAACTGAAATAATAAATAAAAGTCAATTAATTCTTTAGAAATTGCTTTATTTTTGAGATATGAAGCCAAGCAGTTATTGCTTTCATTATTGTTGCAGCATACCTACAGATAATAATGGGTATGTCCCCATTCACATAAATACAGTAGTAAATACTGTATGTTGGTCTGCAGTTGGAGATTCATTGTGGAATTCACTTGACTTCCAGTAGTTGACTACTACTTCTATGTGCCGTTGGCGAATCTTATATCTGTTGTTCGTGTCCTAAGTATTATCATTCATTACCAACCTTTGTGTGATTATTCTATTCAGTAACCGTCCCTAGGTTACAACAATTTTATACACACACATTATATATATATATATATATATATATATATATATATATATATGTGTGTGTGTGTGTACTGTCACGTAGCAACGATTTCATTAACCATATAGGCGTTAGGCTAAAAGTAAAATCTTAAATAAAAGAGAAAATTAGTTAGATATAAAAGAAAAGATAAATAAATAGATAAAACAGAAATTTAATCCAATGCTTCCGATTTAGCGAGCGAATATATTCTATGATCAGCCATACCCCCCCTCTTCTCTTCACAAATTCTTTCTCCTTATCCTCTCTTCCACCCGCCAGCCAAGGGCCCGTGAACTTAGAAGTGACCCGACGCGAGGATGACCTGGTTCTAAGATTTCGCGTTTGACCATGAGTAAACTCCAGACACCATCAGGGTCTCATGCTGCGATTCACGTGATCGGGGACGGAGACATGCGTTGAACTTTGGCCATCACACAAACACCGCGTGATTTGCGCCCTATTCTCCCAAGCGTGCCGGTCAAGGACGAAGGGAACCCACTTGACTGTCTGTGGGGACAGCTAAAAACCAAAGAAGGATTTTTCAGTTTCACTCTGACCAGCGGCAGTTGAACATCGCTGGGCAAAAATCGTCAGACCGCCCACTGAGATGAGGAAGACCACTAAGTCTATCGACTGATGATGGAAGGGCTACTATCGACTGATCAACCCAACCAAATGCCTGTATGAAATGCTGGGGACCCACGAACACACGCCGAAAAAAAAGAAGAAGAATCCAGGAACATTGTCGGCCGCCAAGATACTGATTTATCATCAGAACTCTCGATTGAATCAAAACTTTGTGAAGATACCAGCCCGACTGCAAGATAAGTTGGTTCTTTTGGCTCGATCTATTTTCATATATGTATGTATTCGCTTCTTCTATTCTTTCTGATTCCCCCCTTTTTAACTGAATGTTTTTTTTCCCCCTTTGTTTGTTATATATATATTTATAAATAAATGTTTAATTTTGAAATCCATCGTCTTGTGTCTGTTCTTCGTTGATTCCCTTGTGTTGCTTCCATTTCTGAGTGAAGACCGAGAAAAGAAACCACGTTTTCCTTTTTTTTTTTTTAGAACCCGTGGTTCATCTATATGCTACAAGTTCGTAACAGTACACACACTAATCCCATATTTAAGTACCAAAGAGAAAAAGTACTTGTAAAATTTTTTATCAAAGATGCATCTCACTTGTTATGCATTTCAATTTTTAATGACAGTTCTTTCATACACAAACATACAAGAGGTCATAAAAATTGGCAATGAAGTTTACCTGTGCCCTTGATAACCGAAGAATTACAACACCTCGGTTTAATATCTGTCCTAATATTCCTTCCTTCAAACTTTTGTTTCCAAGATCCAGCCGTTTCCACAAACTTTCTGATTCTCTGAAAAAAAGAAGAGAAATGTATGTTAAAATAATTTTGAAAAGCATACTGAATTCTGAAGTCAATCTCATGACTTCAGTTTTTTTTTTCTTTTTAGCAAGAAAATATTTATTAATGTTATCTTTTTTTTCTTGTTTAGAGGCAACAACTATTTAAGAACAACAAAGCATCCTACACACACACACAGAGCATAAAAAAGATATGAGGGAAAGTCTCAATAAAAATTCTCACCCTAAAGTTTGTCAGCCGAATAGACTTAGCATTACAGGCAAAATTTTTTTATTATTTTTGTTCTTATTACGATGATGATGACAACACCTTAGCTGAAAAATATATTTCCATACAAGAATTTGGAATTGAATAAGAGGACTTCTCGCAAATTGAAGTAAATTTATTTCTCTTCAAAATGTGTTTACTTTTCAAACAGACATCGTTTAGTTCTATATTCCACCCCATCAAACATTCTATCCATTTTACATTCCACCCATGAAGAAAATTTCGGTGTTACTTTTGATTCAATCTCACAGTAATTTCAACTTTAGTATTATCAGATGAAAAATGTTGGCATTTCAATGACTCTTTTTAGTAACAACCAGAAAGTCTGATGCTGACAAATCAGATCTACACAGAAAAGATGTGTAACCAAGTGTGAATTTAAAAAAAAAAAAAAGGTCCAAAAGGACATCACAATTTTTTTTTTCCCTAGATATGTCTGAGAATTTGTAAGATTTCAAATTTCTGTGCAAATGAGTCCTCAATGTTTTACATGTAACTTGTACAGATGATCAATGAACATTATTTATTACTCAATACCATCACACACCAAACTGAAGTTTTTTTTTTAAACATTGCTGTTCATCCAATATAAGGCTCAAGAGCCCCTCAAGGTAGAGGATTAATGAACGAAGTTGCTTTATAAACATTACAAGAGTATGTAGGACCTGAAACTTGGATAGGCTAAGTACATTTGAAAAGGACTTTATATACAACTGAATAAAAGGCCTAATGTTTCCACTTTTATTATTTGTGCCACACAGTAGTAGATTTTGCTTATCAAACATTGCAAGAATTAGTTTTTCCATTTGTAAAGACGCCAATAGGGTTCTGCTAGTACAGCCATCAACTTAAAACAGCCATGTCCAGGTTGTTCCTTTATTTTGAGACTCAAATATTAACTTGCGCTCAAATTTATAAAATAGAGGTATCAAGAAGAAGAATTCATAAATATATGGTGTCTATCTGATACAATAACACTAATGAATCATAAAGCAACAGTTCATTTTATTTTTGCTCTGTTATTTTAAAAGCTTATAAACATTTTCTTGAATGTCTTAATGAATCTAACAATCTGATAACTTTCCACATTACAAAAGAACAAAAAAGGTTGGAAGGAAACACACATGAATATTAAAAAAAGAACTATAACATTTAGAAGTCTAATTTCCTGGAAAACTGTTTTAACAGAATGATGCTATAAATTTCAACTGACACACTGTTTTGGTATGAATACCAATGTTTTGCATGTGGAAATGATTAATTTTATCATTACCATTACATTAGAGGGGGAGGAAAAACAAAAACAAAACAAATATACAAATGTCAGGATTCTGGAGGTTAGCAAACAAAAAAAAAAAAAAAAAAAAACACAAACTTTAAAAATATTATGATAAAATGCTAATAAAGAAAAGATAATGAGAATTTTAAAATTCTGTGTCATCAGTTGATAGAGGTGTAGATGAATAAACACCACAGAAAACGGAATTAGTGAACAGTTCAAATTCAAGATGAAATAATTCACTTTGCACTAATGCCCTTGAGAACGAGAGAAATCTATCATTTCTTCAATCTAAGGTTATGGCTTTATGTAAAGAACATCATGGCTGGTAACCAGCATAGGAGAAAGACACTGTTGAATGCAGAACAATGGCAAAGGCAATGAAAAACCGCTATTATATCTCTCAAGAGAATCCATTATTTATAGGTATTAAAGTAAAAAAGAAACTATGGTGATTGATGATTGTCTACATCCTGAAAGGACAAAGCACTTATGTTGGGGGAATAGTCTCACCTGATTTGGAATGCCTAATTATGAGGAATTTTCATATATAAATATTTGCAAAAACTATGTAAATTCTATAATAGAGACTCAGATAATTCAAGAGTGATAAAAGCAAAATCATTACAGACTAAATTAAAAATAAACAGATTTGGTGAGGAAATTAGTGACAGAGAACAAAGAAAAAAAAAATTGAAGTAAAGGAAAGCAGAGACACGTTCTGCACAAAAAAAAAAGTCAATAGCCAAGCTACTCATTAAAAGGAGAGCTGTGTAATGCAAGGTTTATTTTTTCAATCAGGCATCATTGATTTAATTGATTGTTTTTCCTTTCAAGTGCTGAGGTAAATATGATTCTACCCATTAGTTATAATTAAAAATGCAGGGTGCCCCCCCCCATTTTTTTTACTAACATAAAATTTTTTTTTTAGTTTGTATACCACATTTGTGTTTTTTGTTGCTTTAAGCTACTAAATTTCTATCCTTTGCTTTTGTTTCAAAGAACTGTAACAAAAATTCCAACAATTAAATAAACTGTACCAAATTCCATATTTTTCCCCCTTTTTTGCAGGGGACTCTGTAGAAGTAAAAATGTTCAACACTTATTGAAGGTCAACTCAGAATTTAGTAATTTTTTAATCATCCAAGCTGACCTTCTATAAGTATTGAACGTTTTTACTTCAATTTTAACAATAATTATCACTGATTTTAATATTGAGCTCTTTATTAGCAGAAATTCTGTTATATTGGATATACATTAAATTATAATTTTGCATACATATTTGCTAGAATTAATAACTGGTATTATCATTATATATATATATATATATATATATATATATATATATATAATAAGAGAAAGATAAAACAAACAAAATTTGCTGAGAACAGTAATGTTAAAACTTTTGTATTTGTGTCTATAGACAAGAAAGTCATTTCAATCTAACTGAATTAGAATTCTTGAATACAGTATAGAACATATTTAGTAATCCTTTGTTTAATTTTACATTTTTCTTCCCTTGAGGCCAGTTGCTTATATATATATATATATATATAAATTGTGTATTTAAATATTAACATTTAATCATTTTTAAACTGACGTTAATATTTTTTCAATACTATGTTATACATTATAAGTTTCTTTTACTTTTTAGGTCGTACTCAAAATAGTACAATTTATAAGTTTAATCTACTTGAGTAATAGAAAAAAATCTTGCACTCAGTAAAATAAAAAAATTAATAATTAAAAGCAACAATAAAAGACAAAAAAATTGCACTCAGTAACAGTGTTGCATACATTAAGGAAAGTAATAATTAAATAAAAAAATTATGTTAATAATAAGCAGATCTTTATTTCATATTAAAAAAAAACTTACGATATTCTATGCCATTTTTTACATACTCTAGCACACTTCGCTAAAACAACTTTTGGTAGATATTTGAAGATATTTAAGAGGATAATGTCTGGAAGGGCTTCAACAATATCTGAAAAAATAAAAATAAAATAAATATTAATAAATAAATAGGCTTCTGCCTGAATTTCTGTGATGAAGATTTACTATTATTTAAACTATTGACATTCAGACTATTGTCCTTATCTTTGTTGTTATCACAACATTTCGGCTGTTGTGTCTTCTGGCCTTCATCAGATGCATTTTCATCCAGGCAAACTACAATGAATTCTGAACTGAACCCTTTATTTAATCTATAGGGTGGCAGACCATTCATGTCTAGTGATCTCATCTAATTCTTATTTTTAGTAATGCTCAGTTATTGCTCAGCTAGAGATTGAACTCACAACTGTCCGATGGATTAATGTGTTGGTTTGTAAATTGGCATAGCAATTCTGTTTTTTTGTTTTGTTTTCTTTTACAGCATATCAACCTCAATGGGTGATTTAATGCCAACAATTTTTTTTTTATTGCTGGTGATACTTTTTTCCACAAAAAGTATTTCTGGTATTAAAACCTATCTTTAGACTTTCATAATGTTTTGACCCCAGTTTAGGGGTTAACTATTTGCCCATTGCTGGGACCCTAACAGGTGCTCCCACCCCAGGTCCATCCTGACCTGGGAACACCAGCAATTAAGAGGTGGTTCCACACTCCTCAAAATCTCTTGATCAGAGGCCTTGCTATCAAACTAAGTTTATCGTCTTAACAAGGACGCAAATGTAGTTTGTCATCATACCCAGGACAGTAGCAATTCTGAGTTCAATCCCTGTGCCAGGCAATTTGTACTAGGGCTCAGTGAAAACAAGGGTGAGCAATAACTGAGCAGTACTAAAAATCAGAAGTAGACTAGATATCCCTAGACATAGGCAGCAGGATGAGAACCCAGCGTAGATTAAATAAAGGGTTAAGTTTGGATACCTTGTAATTTACTCGGATCAATAAACACCAGATGAAGCCCACAGGGAAGAATGGTCGAAATGTTGTGATAACAACAACAGAGATGAGGACAATAGTCTGAATGTAAATAGTGTAAATAAGCAAATAGCTGATGAAATAAATATCAAGAAATTTCAGTATGGAAGAAAAACTACATCAGAAAAAATTTGATATACAAAATGTAAAAGAAACATTGAGAAAGCAGTAAGACTAGAGTACTTAAATAATAATAAATCTATATGAATAAAAGATTTTGCAAAAGTTTCTGGGTCAGGATGAGAAATTTTGGCACCCCCTTTTGTACACACACGTATATAAAATATGAATTAGGAAAGTTGATATGCATAAAATAATTTACATTGTCATAGAAATTTTTTTTTTTTAAAAGTATTCAATGTTTAAAGCAGAGATTGATTTAAAATAGAGTTAAAAGTTGTAGCAACTTGCCAGAAAGTTAACTCTCACCATAGGATGATCAGACTGTAGGTGATTATAAACCAAAAATAATAAATACTTGAAGATGGTCAGAGTGTTCTTGGCTGAAACATTGTTATTTATAACAACACCTATAACATTCAAAGATGAGAACAATAATTTGAATAAAGCAAATAAGTCAAACTATATCATCTTCCTAGTCAAATGCACTTAATTCACTGATGAATATTAATCAAGCATCATACAGTGATAATTTCAAAATATTGATCCACTTTCAGAGATATGACAATTATACATATATGACAATTATACATATATGACAATTATACATATATGACAATTATACATATATGACAATTATACATACAGGTGACATAAGAAAGAAAAAAAAAAAAAAGTCATAAAAACAGGAGTTGTGTAAAGTTGCTGAGAGAGTAAAATCTAAATCTTGCATTTACTTACTATTTCTGGAAACTTCTGGAACTTTTTTTCTCCGTCTTATAAAGTCATCATCGCCTTTTAAGAATGCATACTTGCTTGTTTGGTTTTTCTTTGGACTGTCCTTTGTAGGATGATTCTCAATGTGACTTGTAACCATGACACGAGGGGCCTGGATAGAGTTGAAAGAGAGCAACAGGATAATTTAAATTTAAAATTGTTGTATAGGGATAAAGTGTTGCTGCCGACACTGGAGTTTGAACACAAATCACCAGTGAGCAAACACAGGTGATTTCATTTCTAATAAGTAGACCACGTGATTGTAAAGGAAAGGTATATATGGAAATTAGCGTGGCGTCTAAGTGATCGCGATTCTCTATACTGATCATTTACAGATTACTATTTGGCAGTTACTATTTGAACAAGTATTACTAGTGCAAGTATTATTTGTAGGAGTTACTACTAGTATCCGTGATTCCAAAGTCTCGACTACAATGAGCATCATGAACGTGATAACAAGCATTCGTGGACATTACAAAAAAAAAATAAATAAAATAATTATATTATATATATATATATATATATTAAAATTGAATTTACCTCAAGCAAGGTAGCAAAGCTACTAAGACAAGAAGTGTTACTGTTTGTGTAAGAATGAGGAAACATTATTAATTAGTAACATTAATAGATGAGTAATCAGTAAGATAGTGAGCGTGTGTATATTTGGTTGGATTGATATGAGTTTGTGACCCTGGGTTTCATGCTTTTGCGATCGTCAGGGTTTGTCTGACGATTGCAAAAACACAGGGTCACAAACTCACATCAATCTAACCAAATATGTTAACTATCTCTGATATTGAGTGCTTTCTAATAAGTACCACGCATATAATATATATATATATATATATATATGTGTGTGTGTGTTTATATTTATATACACACTTTTCACATATATATTTATATTTGCTGATATCTCTCTCCATCTCATCCATCTTGTGTGTATGTATGTGTGGGTGTGTTCAGTCAAAAATTCGTTAAAGAACAGCATAACATGATGAAAAAAGGCCACAAACTTAATAAAAACAAAGTTTTATTGTCAAAATGTTTATGTTATTAAGAGGAAAGACCAAGGTATTTTTTAATTATTTTTTTTAAATTTTTTTAATCCTTTCTAGCATATTCGAAATTTTGGTTAAAAATCTTTTCTTTTTTCTTTTTTTGTTTTTTTTAACATCAGCAGTCATGTAATATTTAGCATTGGGTTTTTTAAGTGCTTTTTTCAATTGAAAAACATTAATTTGGAAATTCTTGCAAAAATCAAATAAATGGTGATAACTAGTCTGCACAAATTTATGCTTTATGTATAGATCCAAGTTTTCTCATTTAAATTATTAAAATATCTTCAAATATTTACATTTATTCAATATTCTGTTGTACATATTAGTTGATTTGGATGAAAATAAAGTATTAATGAAGCACGAAAGAAAAAAGTTGATAAGAAGACAAATATAATTGTTAATCAGTATTGGATTAATCAAATAAATGCTTTTTTTCTTTTTCTTTCCTTACCATCGTATGATTGACTGATTTGTTTGTTATGGATTATCAACCTTTTGCAGACTATTTAAAGGCAAAAAATATTTTTAGATTGTAAGAATTTTGGAGAGATAATAATGATTTACTGCTACATAAATTTCCCATGGGTATTTGCATATAAAAAAGCTGAATAGAATTGGAACTCAACTCTCAGATTTCTAATTGTAAGCTGTTATGCATTACACCGCTCGCACATCCAAGCTTACATCACCTGGTATTCACAAGTGGTTACCTATTTAGGTACTGACTAGGCTCAATATTGCTTAACTTTTATGATCATATGAGAACTAGCGTTTCAATGCAATATAGACATAAGCCTGCCCCACGTCACATTTCAACAAATTTCTAATAGGCCTATTTGGTTTATAGTCAATTTATGCCTGTTTATCTAAAACCTGTTAAAACTATCCAAAAATACACAAAATTGAGGTAAAAGGTTACAGAGTAAGAGGCACAGTTTATGCAGATATTTGGGGGAAGATAACGGTTAACCCTAGACATGAACAGGTTAAGATTGTAGTGATTAGAAAAACATCCTCTTGAGAGTTGGTTTCACAGAACAGTGGTTTGTGGGAAAAGCTGCTTGAGTGAAACTTACTTCTCACAAATGGAATATGGAGTGAATGAGGGTAGATCATGGCAATGGGGGTTCTTAGACATGAAGGTTAGAACTGGTGGAAGAGGAGGCAGTAGAAAGTAAAGATTATGAAGATATGGAAGGTAGAAAACAATTGACCTTAGCCTTGAAGAAGTTAAGATTACAGTGTTCAGTTGACAAAGAACTCTGTTTTGTTGGTCTCCGTGCCTTGCCTCAATTTTTAAGATATTTTCCTTCTCCAATTTTAGAAGGTTCAAGAATATACTCACCACAATATTGTGAACATTTAAGGTCAACGAAGACAATTATAGAAAAAAGAAAATTTTTGAATAGTAATATTGAAAATCTTGACAACCAAATAAATTCATAACTATATATATTCAAGCGTAATCAGGATCAAGTCAATTCAAATGATCCTCTCTTTAGCTGCATAGTATGTGCCTCACTAGGGTTACATACAGTTCTGAGTTTTTCTTCTCCTAGACCAGTTGCCACCCAAGGCTATAGAACTCAGTCTGTTCTACTATTTACCCATAACCGGGAGAAGAGTTGGATTCATACCTTTGCCAAGGGTATTAGCATGTAAGTGCATGTAATGAATGACTGAAATTTCAACTAGGTCTCCGATTCCTTCATCCAAGCTGCAATCTGTAGAAAATATTAGATTTTTTAGTGTAAGACCATTAATGCAGGAGTTATTTGCCTATATTTTAACCCTAGTTTTGTAGGCCATAATATGAAACAAATTGCTGAATGCTTGTTGAAATGGCTACAGAAAGAATTTTATAAGAATCTTAAAAATAAATAAATAAAATTTTTACACATTTATTTACTTACATCTGGTACTTGCATGCAGTCATGCACTGTGATGGCTGGAGTTTTCTCAGCTCCTTTTACTGAGCAACTGTTAGAACTACCATCCAGGCTGGTGTCCACTAAAGGACCCACTCCCAGTTCATTATAGATACAAGGGTAGTTATCACCATCAGCTGTCCATTTGGTCTTGGGTTTCTGAGCGGCTGAGCCAGAATGAGAGTCAGATGATTTACGTTTTCTGAAAGAAATAAAAGAAAGAAACTATCAGTTTTATAGTCCTTCCTTCCCCATTTGTGTTGTTTTTATATAAATTCATTAGCAAGAGAGGAATGGTAAATATATGAAATTGCATGGGGGAAGAGAGAGAGAGAGGGGGGAATAATAACTTGGCTGAAGCAAAATATTTTAATTTTCTTCATGATAAACCCATTTATTCATAACATTATTCAGTCATCAAATTACTCTATTATATTTCAATTAACTGAAATATACTATGCATGTGTATTCACACACATATTTAGGAATCAATTCCTCTTTTATCCAGGTTTCAGTGAAAATGACAAGGTGTTGCAATTAAAATTTTTATTATATTTTTTGTTTTGCATTCGTACAAGAGATTTCTTTTTTGGATAGTGTGTAAAAACTGTCCAACTCTTTAGATCTGAGCACTTTCAGCCAATCTATTAGCCATCATCAAGGATGATTTATTTGTGTCTGTTTATGTATTTTTTATAGTATAAATGTGTTAATTCTCAACCACACACACACATTTTGGGCAGGTTTGGTTTGTCAGTCATATTGAGCCTGGTGGTATACAGGGTACCCTTCTACAAACTACAGCCACTGGCTGCCTGAAGGAAGTTTATATATATATATATATATATATATAAATAAAAACTTCTTTTAGTAACGTTATAATTGGTATAATGTTAATATGTTAAATGTATTCCCTTTATGTAATGCTTAGGCTACTGCTGTAACACCTGTATAGTTAATATGAAGACTGACTCCAATACAACTACCACTGCCCTCATGCCATGGAACTCTATAGTTTTGGACCACTTTATTATAATTATTTTTTATTTTGTATCAGTATCTCCCCCACCTCTTTCTGAAGAGTTCACCAACATACTTTACTTTGTAGCATTTCAGTCTCAGATCCATTTTCAGGTTTTCTGTATGTTTTCTTTTTTTTGTCGGTTCCACGATTTGTTTTGGTACTTGCACATCAAATATGTTGTACAGCATTTTAACCGGCTCTTCAGGTCTTTCACCAGTTAATTTTTTCTTCAACTGATTTTGTCACCTTTTATGTTGGAATTTTTTTTCTTTTCATCATTTAGATCAATTTTCTGATTCTAGCTGCTATTATGCAGTCTCCCCATGTTTCCTTTTCATCCTAGTATGCTCTAAAGACTACTTTATCACCAACCTTGAAAGGATTGGTGCTACTTTTATTTGTGATTTTTGACTTGGCAATAACTTGGTCAAACACTGATTTTATCCTTCTAGCAAACATTCATTCCGCAAGTGATATGACTGATGGAGTGTTAGGGTTAGGTGTTAACCAGTACACTCTCAAAAAATTTTGGTGTCCCTCTCATTTAATTTGTCTAGACTGGCTTTTATCAACATTCTCACAAACCGTTATGCTTGTCTGTTAGACTTTGGGTGATAGAGTGGGGTTGTAATATGTTCTATAGAGAACAACTTGCAAAAGTCTTGAAATTCTTTTCCAGTGAATTGTTTCATTATCTGAGACTATGGTATCTGGTATGCCAGATCTCATAAAAAGTTCAAGTAAGAAATTAACCGTCACTTTTTACAGGATTTTTACACTTGTAAATTTCTGGCCATTTTGTAAAACTATCAACTATCACTAGTTAATACGCTCTATCCACAGAACCTGTAAAATCTATATGGAATCTTGACCATGGTATGTCTGTCTTCAGCCATAGTTCTAAATCTTTGTGATAGGTAGTCTTGCTGATAGAGTACCTCTACATGCTTTTACTGTTTTTTCGGCATCTTGGTCCATTCCGGGCTAATATACGAAACTTCGCATGAGGGATTTCATTCTTGAAATGCCAGGATATCTGGAATGAAAATCCTTTAATATACATTTCTGTAACACACTCGGTATTACAATTCTTTGTCTGTACATTACAACACAATTGCATATCGAGTACACGTTCAATTCTTGATTCTGTTCTTTTTTAGTTTCATTTTCTTTGCTTCTTTATTTTAGCAATAAAGATGTCCTTTTCTGCTTTTTCTTCAATTTCCTCCAGACTAACTGGTAATTCCCATACTATACTGCACAGAATGTTTTTGATTTCCATCTTGCTTTTTAGCGCTGCTATGAAACGGTGTCTGCCAATTGTTCTGCATTTTTAGATACTAACCTAGATAATCCAGCCACATGTCCTAATTTTTTTTAGACGATTGGTACTACATCATAAAATTATAATTCAAGAGGATGGTAACCCAGCGTTGTAATCTGGTAACTGTATGGGTAGGTACATCTTTCTTTGAACCATATATTGGTAATAACAGTTTATGGTCTGTTTGCAACATGAAATTTCTTCAATGAATAAATTTATGAATTTTTTTTATAGCAAATATGATTGCTAGTTTCTTTCTATATCTGGTTGTAATTCTTCTTTGCTGGTAAAAGCAAGCATGAATCAGGAGTAAAAACTTTAATTTTACCATCATCATATTGGTGTAAAAATCACTGCTCCAACACTATAATCACTAGTATCTGACGCTACTACAATTTTTGCTTTTTGATTGTAGTGTACTAACAATAAATCAGACATAAGACTTTTTTTTATCTCATCAAATGCGTTGTGACAAATGTTTCTAATTCCAGTTCACTCATTTCAGTAGATTGTTAAGCGAAACTGTCAAATTATGTATATTATGTACATAAATTTGATAATTGGCCAGTCCTAAAAAAGCTTGTAACAGTTATTTGTTGGTGTAGGCATATTTCTAATTGCATTTGCCCTCAATCTGGTTTCTTACCAATTTTTTTTTTTTTTTTTAAATTCTTGGCAAAAACAATTCACATCTTTCTTCACTAAACTTGAATCTGACATACCTAACATGTTCTTTGAATATACTCTTGATCAAAATATCATCCAGATATGCCACTGCAAAATTTACAATCTGCCAGCATGGTATCCATGGCTTGTTGAAAAATAACTGGTGCCACCTTTATAACCGTATGTGTGTATTTATGATCATTAATTCGTAACATTAATTTTCAATCTGAATTTGTAAATATGCTTCAGAGAGATCTAGCTTTGAAATTATTTTTCTGCCATTCAACTTTGAAAACTTTTTTCTAGACTTAGTAACAGATAATTGTGTTTTGAGAAATCTATTTAATCCAGATGAGAAATCTGTGCAAACACAAATTTTTATCATTTCTTTTTTCTTTACATACATCACTGGTGCAGCCCATTTCTAATACTGCGAATGATAGTTTCAGCTTAAATACTGGCATTGAACCTTTTCCTTTTTTTTTTTTTTACTTGAAAATTTGCCTTGAATTTTGAACACTGATCCAGTTCATTAGACAGAACATCAGGAAAACATTTTTTTATATTGGACTTGCCCACTTACATTTTTACAATAAGCGTTTATCAGCAAATCCCACAGTTCAAATAGTTCCATCCAGTCTGTACTGAATAGATTTGTTGCATTTCTTAGAATACAAGTTTTTGTTTTTTACCTGCTTATTTTCAAAATAAACATGTTAATTCTCCCCTCCAAAAAAAATTTTTTTTTACCAGAAACTGAATTTGAGACTTTGTAAGTCCTTTTTAATAAAGGTTTTCCAATTTCTTTCCATGTGGTTTCATTTACTATTGAAATGTCACTACCAGTATCTAGTAACATTTTTACTACCACATTATTGATTTGCATGCGGACCATTTTTGTGATCAATATTTTCATCAAGCCTTAATAAATCTGTCCCTTGCTGCTCTTATACTTTTGCAGCAGCAGTCTTGAGCTAGATCTACCCACCAAATGTCAACAGGGGGCCAATCAATTTTAAGGTCAACAGAGTCTTTTCTAGTTTATCTCCACCACCATATATTCTTTTGGCTTGGTTTGTTTTGTGGTATATCAGCCTCAATGGGTTATTTAATGCCAACAAGATTTTTTATTGCTGGTAATTTATTTTTTTTTTAAAAATGTATTAATGGTAAAAATTTTCTTCAAAAATTTATTGCTGGTAACAATTTTTTACAAAGTATTTCTGGTATTAAAACCTATTTCTACACTTTCATAGTGTTTTAACACCAGTTTTTTTTTTTGGGGGGGGGGTAACTATTTACCCATAGCTGGGACCCTAGCAGGTGCTACCACCCTGGGTCAGGTGAACCTGGGAACACCAGCAATTAAGAGGTGGTTCCATTCTCCTCAACACCTCCTGATCAGAGGCCTTGCTGTTGGACGTAGTTTATTGTCTTACCCAGGACAGACCAGATATTCTTTATCAGCTACCTAACAAGAGGGTACAAATGTACCTCATAATAATTTCTCAGTCTCTCTCTTTTTTTTTTTTTTTTTTTAAATTTTGTGAGAAGAAATTAATTTGACAAAACACATATTAGGGAAAGCAAAAGTAAGTGTCAAATTTTATATACATTTAAAAAACAAGGTGATAAGAACATTAGAGAAATGATTATAATTTGTTTCAGGGACTATTGGTGTGAATATGATGTGGTACAAATAACTCAGATAAGAGGTAATGGAAGGTGAGAAGGAATAAATTTAGATACTAATAATGACATAGTGAAGATAGCTGAGATGACAGACATACTATACACACAAGAGAAAATAAGGATATTTTTATAGCAAGGTAACAGATAACCACCATACACAATGACAATGCTTTTGTTTGTTTGTTTTTTGAGAAGAGGAATAGAGATGATTTTATATTTGTGTGTGTGCGTGGGGGGGGGGGGGTCCAAAGAGATACACGAGGTAAAAAGAGAACTAACACGAGAAGGATTTGCAATAAGACAGTTAAATAAACTAAAATTTAAAAGAAAAATGTGTTTTTAGTCATATCTGGAAAAAAAAAGCATTCTTAAAAGAACCAAACTTTTCAAGAAAATTGTGAATATTTGTATTCTCTGACAAAAGTAAATAGGGTTGCCAAACTTCCTGCAAAATTATGGGATGACCCCACATTTCGAGAATATATGATTCCTTTTA